AACCAAATATTAATAATAGACGAATGTTTAGTGCATCTAGGCAAACAAGTGTGTACTTTGAAAATAAAAAAACAAATCTAATAACAAACAAGAGCAAATTAAATGAATAAAATATTAAGCGTTGATAATAAGTTAATAGTAGAAAACAATACTTTTAGAACAACCTTACAAAATATAAATGAAATCAGACCATAAATACTGGTTTACCAAATATCTCGACTCTTGCGCCACCTAACGGCAACATGTTTTGTGAAGTTATTCCTTTTCATGTAATTAATATACGGCCTGAATATGAAACCAATTGGATTATGAATACGAGATTTTCAAATATTTCGACTCCTGCGCCACCTACTGAATTAATTCACCTTTCGTATTGCATTGTCATCGGGTCAAAAATGTATTACAAGATTCGCCCCTAAGAAACATATATATATACATAGAGATCAAGTTAAATAAAAATTTGTAAAAATGATCACATCAAAGGTATACAATAAGTTAACAAACGTAGGGATGTGTAAATTAGGAAGTATGTATGTATGTACGATTTCCCGCCTTATTCCCACAGCATAAATTAAGGCAGAGGTAGAATAACAATTTATAAATACATACATAATTATACTTAGTTATGTATGTATATATAGTTACAGCTCTTATGTATGTATGTAAATATAATAAAATTTGAATGCTTGGATTATACCTATCGTTCTGGCATTTCCATTATTAAGTCAAAGGATCAAAATTGGTTCGCAACTCCAAACAAAGAAACTTTATTTTAATAAAACTAAAAAAGACAAATAATTCTCAGGAGAACCATCTGCCATTTGGGTGTGTTACAAAACTATAGAACACTTAATTTTAAAAGAAGTTCTATCTATATACATACATATATGTCTGAACATTTAGGTAAGGGGTATCACAATCAGCCATACATCTTATCAGAGATTACTAGTATAAGCGTTATCAAACATCCCACTTTAACACGATCAATAAGTCACATAAGAGAACTTAATTTCAATTATTACTGATCTTTTTTAAACCCAACGCTGAAACAAAGATAAGTATTTAATAAAAACAACAACATTACATACTATCCATTTATATTTCGTGTCTACAGGCTTCCATATATTGGCATATACTGTGAAACCCGCTTAAGTGCTCCCTTGAAATTCCTTAAAATATTTACATATTTTGAATCTCAGTGGCAACATTACACTAAAATTGAATGGGCTATAAAACTGTATATTAAAAAAACGCATTTGAGAAAAAGAATTTTCAATTTTGATGAATTCTTTTTTTTAAGTGCTCTATAAAATCTCAAGCTTAGGTTTACATGGTATTTGTCAGGGAATGAACCGTATTTTAATAGAAAAATCTTAAATAAATACGTATACTTAATTAAATGTTTATATTTTATTCAAGGATTTGCATGTTTATGTAAGTCAACAAAAAGATGTAACTACATCAACAATTATGTTCGCTTAAGTAGCCGCATCGAGGTGCTTAAGCGGGTTCTTTTAAGCACCCAACCCGCCTAAGTACCTCAAAAAGCTGACATTTTTCGTGAGGTACTTAAGCGGGTTTTACTGTAGTTCAAGTTTGCCTCGCCTAGAATAATGTATCTACTTAAGTTTATTCAATGAATTATTTAAAGCAAAACACTTTAGTCAAATACCAGTTCACTTTAGTTTTTTTTAAGGTTTTTATTTTTCAGAATATAATCGACTGTATGCACTTTCACTCTAAAATAAATTTCATTATTAAATCGCTCTATTTATTTTCAAATTTTCAAAGCTAAATGCATGACAGTCTCCATGCATTATATTTGCTATACGTTGGGTATAGATATAAGTATTATTGGAATTTTTTTTTGCTCAAATATAAGTTGAAGGTGCAATTGAAGTGGACTATAAAGATTACAAAAATTTCGCTGTTAGAAAATTTTATTATTTTTCTACACGAATATTCACACATATCCGGGGTATTTATGCAATTAAATACGAGGGAAATTAGATAAGTACGACGATAAATGAGCTCGCTTGTAAAGCAATTTTGTTGATCTGCAAAATGGTAGGCCCTGGTCTTTTTCTTCTGTATATAATACGCGAAGGGATTATTTGTCTAAGTCATCATATCTGCAAATATTTATTAAAGATCTTGTGCTGTAGATGTGAAGCCAATAAACCAGTGACTTCATAGAGAGCATTTGTCATATAAGCAACCGTATAAAACATATATAAAAAGCTTTAGAAAGTTTCATCCTCGGGTTATCTTTGGTCGTGACTCACTGAACAGAATTTCGCAATTTATTTGAAAGAAGCTTCGCTTAAACTTGATGCTGGTCATGCCTTGTCAGAGATCGTTTCGCAGAAAAAAATACCACTGCCTTAAGGTTAAATTAGTGGTGACATAACCATAACCATATAAAACAGCTGTTCCAACCAACCTTACGGCCAACACTGTATTCGATTAGTGGTGTCACACCATAACGCCATAACCATAATCAGCTGATATCTGAAGTGCGAGAAAGAACGTGTTGCCGCCAGACGTTAAAAAAAATATTGTTGACAGCCAATGTTTTGGCATTAGTCTAGAAAATGAACCATTTAGCTATTCAAAAACCAAACCAGAACTTCTCACGCTAATTTCAACCTGTACCAATATTATTTGGCGCAAAAATGGGAAGAAGATATAAAAGTTTAAATTAAAATTTTTTGATTTTTTAAATAATAATATACTATGAACTACATAACCGATTAAAAAACTAATGATGCAAAAATAAAGATAGTTAATTTAGCATATACACTTAGCATAATTTTTATGCTTTTTTTATTTTTAATTCAGAAATACTAAAAAACGAAAAAACATCCTATTTTTTCATAAAATAACCTATTTTGAAAAAAAATCCATGATTAATGCAAAATAAATTTATAGTAAAAGAAAGTACAAGTCCAGCATTTAAAACATTATTTGAAGCTTATTTATCGTAATTTATAAAAAAAAATGATTGATGAAGATTTTAGAGAGCCCCTGCCAAGGTCTTTGATCGGAGTTTGATTTTCAATGTTCTTTTTGGCGTTAATACCATTTGAAGTCATATCAACTGGATAAATAGATTTCGGCATAAGAGAAGCTAAGTAACTTCGAAATCTTTAGGCAAAAAGAGATAAGATCTCGTACTAATACCTATTTACAGTACGTTTAATGTAAATAAATGTGAAATTGTTTCATTCAAATTGAAAATCGGTCGCATAATATATCGGACAATGATAAAAACGAAAATGCTTAATGCATTATTTATTCACTTTTTTCTCATAGTGTTAATGCATATCAAACTTTTCCTGTTTGTATGTAAAGAAAGGTCGTTAAGAAACTCTGAAAATGCGAATCTCAACAATATAGTAGGTCCAACATTATTCANACATTTTGATGGGTCTATCTCTTTTTGTTCTGGTACTTACAAACATCGGACCAAAGTTATAATACCATTTCATGCTCATGAAAGGTATAAAAATGATTGATGAAGAGTTTAGAGAGCCCCTACCAAGGTCTTTGATCGGAGTTTGATATTCAATGTTCTTTTTGGCATTAATACTATTTGAAGTCATATCAACTGGATAAATAGATTTCGGCATAAGTACGTTTAATGTAAATAAATAATGTGAAATTGTTTCATTCAAATTGAAAATCGGTCGCATAATATATCGGACAATGATAAAAACGAAAGTGCTTAGTGCATTATTTATTCCCTTTTTCCTCATAGTGTTAATGCATATCAAACTTTTCCTGTTTGTATGTAAAGAAAGGTCGTTAAGAAACTCTGAAAATGCGAATCTCAACAATATAGTAGGTCCATCAATATTCACAGCATTTGTAGGTCACTACATTAAAAGTTAAACTCCTCGTGGATAGGGAAATATCCGTTTATTACATAAGTAATGAAAACACGTGCACTACTCTGAAATAAAGTGAATCTACACTCACATATGTATATACATTAGACTGCATCACTCCCCATTCAAAAAAAAAATCGGTACTATTTTTCCATTGGAATTATAAAAACTATTATCTTTTAAGATTTCCACCAAAATATTTCGGAAAAATATTAAGATTTAAGCGAGCTAGACCGATTTGAAAATACCTCCAAAAATGGTGTTTTTTATGAATAAAAATAGTTTCTTAAAGATTTTTTTTTGAAAAATTCCCCTCAAATGACAAAACGGTTTAAGCTTAAGATATTTGCATAAAAATATTTAAAAAAAATTTGAACGGAATCGTAATGATGATGCAGTTTTTTAACTTTTTTCAAAGATTGGTATAAGAAAAACTTGAACAGTTATTCAAGTTTTTCGTATGCCAATCTTTGAAAAAAGTAAAAAAACAGCATCAAAAATCTCATTCTTACGGTTCCGTTGAAAATATTTTAAAAATATTTTTATGCAGATTTTTTAAGCTTAATCTAATTTGTCATCTGAGGGGACTTTTTTCAAAAAGTTCTTTAAGAAACAATTTTTATTCATAAATAACTTCATTTTTGGAGGTATTTTCAAACTGGTCCAGCTCACTTAAATCTTAATATTTTTTCGAAATATTTTGGTGGACGTCTTAGAATATAATTAATTTTGTAATACCGGCGGAAAAACCGCAACTTTTTTTGGTGATGCAGTCTAATATACATAGATGTATGTACATACATATTTACATACATAAGTTTTTACATATATATTTACATGCAAAAAATTTCAACAATTGGAAAGGCAGCAATTCAAGTGGACTTAACCCTGTAAGCACGTCTGTACATATCTAAATATGTATATTGTATATTTTTATTTGTATCAAAATTACAGAGAGAACAAGTGGTTAGCATCAGCGTGCAAACTTATGAAATATTTCCATACATACAGACAAGCATAACTATGCTCACACATTGCATTAAAAGTGAATTCACCTTTGAAAAAATGTCGTTTTATTGGGTAAATCTCACTTCGGTGAGCGACTGACCCACAAAAAATGTAAAAATTAAGGTTAGCTCGGCAAGCAATTCACGCATCACAAACGGGCGAATGTCGAGTATGTCTGTCTGTGTGTTTTTTTTTTTTTTGTTATCTGAGGGGTGTCTGTTTGCGAATCTAGTTAATTTTTACAGCAATAAATGACATTTTGTAACTGCTTCCCGATTTTATTACACATGAAAGATATGCATGTGTGTATATGTATATGTATATTAGACTGGGTCGGTTCCCATATGAAAGGGAAAAATAAGAAATTCCTTCTGTAGCAGGAAAACTTACTCCGATAGAATGCTGGCTCGTTAAAATGTATCTTCCTGTCATGTCCTAAACACATCCAAATAAAGATTTTTTCATGAGTTTTTATTAATGACAAAATTTTAAAGTGTGATAGATCGTTTAAAAGTATGTTTTTGTATAGTATAAAACTTCATAAAAAACAAAAGTTTTTAAATTATACGGTAACTTAATTTTAATTCAGTCGGCTGGAAAGAGAGCTCGCTGGAATGGGTAATGTTGGTCAGCAGATTATATTTAAACGGTAGGTTGCACCTTGGAATCGGGTTTTCAATAACAAAAAGTTGTGAAAAGCTGTAATTTGGCTGTTTTAGGACTCGACAACGACGAAAATTTTTAAGACGCCAAATTTTTTACATTTATCCCGCGGTGGCGTGCTAAGAGGTTCGCACAACCACTCGGTCTGCTCGAACCCTGGGCCGAGCAATATAAAAAAAAACTTGCGAGTGTATTTCTGCCATGAAAAGAGGTTCTGATCAGAACCATTTCCACTCTCCTTTGTGTGACAACATCAAACCGCAAACCACAAATCGGAAGAGGAGCTCTGCCAAATATTTATTTTTGTTTTATGCTTTCAAAGTAGGTCGAGTGATTACAAATGTTTATTCGCGACCCTGTCTAATGTACACATATGCACATATGTGTGTATATTAGAGTGGTCCAAAAATGTAAAGTCGGAATTTTAATGCTCCCACCCCCCTGGGATTGTTCTACACCGAAAAAATAGACCCTTATTTTTATATTTTGAAATCAAAAAATGTTTAGAGGTCGCACGAAGCGCTCAAAGTTTTCCATGTATTTTGTATGGCGAAAAAACAATTTTCCGTAGAAATGGTATAGAATTCCCGAAAATCAATATTTCGGAAAACTCGGTTTCTCTTCAGTAGACTGCCAATAATACTGCCCAATTATTTATTTAACCATTTTTTATAGTAACTATATTTTATAGGTCCTCAAAAAAACCCAGATAATGCAATGGGGAGACCAATAAAAAATCTTTGGTATTAAAAAATGGTTAAGTAATCGAAGTCTCGTGAAGAGAAATATAGTTTTCCGATCAACAATATTGATTTTCAAGAATTATATACCATTTCTACGAAAACTTGAGCGCACTCTAAATATTTTTTGATTTCAAAATAAAAAATAAAGGGTATATTTTTTTACCATTTTACTTTTTTTTTTGGACCTGCCTAGTGTATATCTTTATAACACACAGCAGTTTTGAGTAATGTTGATGGCATTCGCTTATGTCGCTAAACGATTCATAAACTGCCAGACATGACTTCGGATAACGCGTGATAAAGATTAAGGAACAAAAGGTATAAATTTTACTTTTTGTAACTACTGTATATGCGATTTTATTTTTAATGCAGTAAAGCAAAACATGTGCATGCTCTCATTTTTTTTTCTTTTGTGAGGTGTGATATGGATATCGTATTTAGTCCCCCAACTCGTTTAGTATAATCTATTAAACCTTTTCTTGATACATATCTATAGTACATACATACATATATGTATATGTATATTTTTGTACATTTGAATAATCCAATGTTTATTATCTTTTCAGTAAATCACCAAAAAAAAAAATTCACTCTCATTATGCCTTTATAGCCACATTGGCATTGTGTGCGGTCAGCGCCCTAGCAGAGGTACGTATTCTACTTTCAATAAAGTTTTGTTGCATTCATTGTTGATATTCACACATTTATTTGTCAATTGTCCGTAGCAGAAAAGCGCCACTATGGAAGCCATTGCCTATATGGAGGGCCCCATCGTGAAGGGTAATGTTACATTCATACAGAATGGCTGCTCGGAGAATGTTCATGTGCACGTCTACTTGACTGGATTGGATCCAGGCAAGCACGGTTTCCACGTGCACGAAAAGGGCGACCTAACAAATGGATGTACCAGCACCGGTGGACATTTTAATCCCGATAAGGTATTGGAATAAATATGATTTTTGTCGGAAAATGTCCAAAAGTTATGGACTCTCTTCTGATTGCCTCATAAAGTTTTCTGATCACGAATACTTTCCAGTGGTCCTTTTCTCGCGCATGCGTCTGCTTTCTCAAATGTTCTACATTGATACTCTGCTAATATAAATATATAAAATCTACAGTAATTTTCACGAGTAAAAAATCAGTACGAAACTGTTTCCTTGGCGTTCATTGTGGCATACCTTTTGCGTCTTGCGCTTTGCTGGCAAAGTTATTAAGTTTTATCTGGCAGGACCTTAAGTTTTGTAGTGGCAGGAAAAATTACACTGAAGATGATGAAACACCAACAAATTTAAACAAACGAAATATAACAATAATAATGAAGTTCTGCAAATGTATTTTGTACCGTGTCATGGGTTCATATTAGAGGTTCGAGTCCCATGAATTTACTCTTTAAAAATAGTCCCTAAGTGATAAAGCTTTGATTGTTAAACCTCTTGTTTTTTTTTCTAATAATTTAGCCGAATCAAACAAGGAAGCGAAATTCCAAAAAAAAAACTATAAAACCTTATACATAATAATTAACTTATTTTCTCTCCACTCCCCCCTGTAGATGGATCATGGGGCGCCTGACGATGAAGTGCGCCACGTTGGCGATTTGGGCAATGTGGAGGCCGATGCGAATGGCATTGTTGATACCACTTTCACCGACCACTTGATCAGCTTAACTGGCAAGCGTACCATCATCGGACGCGGACTGGTTGTGCACGAATTGACCGATGATTTGGGCAGGGGTAGCCACCCCGATTCGAAGAAGACTGGCAATGCAGGTGGACGCTTGGCTTGCGGTGTCATTGGTGTTAAGTAAATATCAGAACAAAACAAAAAAACAAAACCACACGCCTCTACTTTGTACACGCTAATTGTATGAAAGCTTCAAATCAAAATAAGTATGGCTGTATATGTCATTGTTGATTTTAACTGTTGTACTATTGTTGTAACATGTCAATCATTTGCTTAAACAGCGCCGTAGCGCAGTGAAGCAGGCTAATGTATTTTTTCCTTGGCTTTTTATTTTCATTTAAACTGCTATTATTTTTGATTTATTTTTTGTCGATTTCTCTAGCTTCCTTGCTCTCTATTTCATTTTGTTCTATTTTTTTCTGTTTTATTGTTTACACGTTTTCTTCACTAACCCTTTCTTGCCTTTAAAGTTTGAGCAAAAATTTATGTTTTGCTTATCATTTTGATATGCAACGACTTTAATAAATTAATGTTTTGTGGTTAACCAAATCGGCCAAATTAATATAAATTTATTTTGTGGTCATTTATTTATATAGGACTGTGTGTATATTTATTTTGGGTGCTTATTTAGATTGGGTGTTTATTTTACTTGTATAAACGTGTATATATATGTATTTGAGTATGCTTTTTTGTGTATTTAGTCGTAATTAAGCGCTTCATATTTAGACATAAACTTGTACATGGATGCACCGCCACAACAGGAAATACATAGCTACATAAAAGCACCCACTTCAAGGGTACGTATGACAACCTCTTCTATTAGTCTAACAGGAAAAAAGTCATTAGTTTTAGTTGCTTGCGTGTTTGCTGCTAATCAAACCTTTCAAATCTATTGTATGAATGAATATTTACACACATCACATTTACATATGATTTACCAAAGAAATTACCAGAATGTAAGAGTTCGATTATTTTTTTATTGTCATGATGTATGCTAGAGTCATAAATAAGCTCGCAATAAGGCCATGCTTTGACTCTAATAATACAAGAAGACAATGCCAAATACGACATAATATAAATATGTATCCGTTTATGGTTTTTGGCTGACAATGTTTTCCCTCCGTCGCAAACTCATGAAGTGGTCAGTTCTGTTTTACTCCCACTGTAGCATTTTACCACAACGAAAGATTTTATTCTAAAGCTTTCTGAATAAAATGTATAGAAAGCTCAAAAACGCTCTGTAGGCGTGCCGATGCAGGGGTAAATTCTGACTTAAATTCTTAAGCGCAAGTGGGGAAAACTTGATGGAATTAAAAGTTTAGTTTATAAACGTGAGATAACGTAACCCCATCAAAAAATTTGCGTGGAATGCCCTTGAGCTTAAAAATAATCGCGACCAAAAAACATTCAACGTGGAAAGCTTTTCGTTGACTTTATATGAACAAGTTCGTCAAAGGCTATTAGATAGAGCTTTTTAACGATCAAATCATATCCCTTCGGGTTAAGCTGTTTTGCTTTTCAAAGCTCTGAATACATTTTATATGGAAGTGCAGAAAGTAAAAGCTCTCTCTGAGTGACGACGGTGCAAAATTTTGTTGGCGGTTATAGCGCCGGACGGGCCCATGACAGTCGTCACTATTTTATATGATGCGCTTAGAGCAAGAGCTCTCTCTGATCGTCTATGATGGAAAACAACTTATAAAAAGCTTAAAAAGCTCTGATCCCGGCTACGTTTTAACCCTCACTTATTCAGCGCAGTGATGATCAGAAAGGTTTTATTCTATCTAACCTGTATAAAGCAAAAAAAAACTATGCAATAGTGCAAGAGTTTTGCCCGTCACTGATTAAGTTTATGGCTTATTTAAATTATACAGTCGTCGAAAGGTTTCGACGCTGGATATCCCAGTATTTTTTTCTTTATTTGAGCAATAGAAGTCACATCAGCAATCTTTAGAATTTTTGTTTATTTTTCTGTATGTATGTATTTGTACAGTTTTCAACAATGTAATGCCAGAGGTCTAACTTAAAATATAGAAACAAAAAAAGTAGAGAGTTACCACCTGTTTTAAAATTGCAGTTTAAGTAAATTAATAAGACAAAGCAAATATTGCAATATGGCTGTCAAAAGAAAGAAGGCTTAGAGCCGAAAATACTTTTGAGGAGGTTGCCACATGTTTGAAAATTTTAATTTAATTTAATTGTCAAACTGCAGAGCTTTAGGAGAGTTTACTTCCAAAAATATTTTTGAACGGGGTTGCCACCTGTTTGAAAATTTCAGTTTAATTAGATTGATAAAATAAATGACATATTACAATACGGGTATCAAACAACACAAAAATACAATTAAGGCACAGTGAAGAACGCCGAGTATTTGCTAGTTGTATATAAAATTTGTTCACCTCTAAGAAAGTACTAAACTATTTAGATACTGTTGACAGTAAACACATTTATGTTTTTGCATACCTAGCAGTGTAAAAAGTGCTAACACATGAACACAATCTGCATTCGCACTTAAATAATCCAATAACGGAGTTAAAAAAAACGTAATGCAACCCTGCAAATACATACCTTTTGGTCACATGACTAAAAAATACTTGTAACAAGGCTTAACTATGTAATTTGAATAAATATTTTTTCAGCGCTTACCCATCTCATCAAGCATCAGTCATTGGTTGTGAGCCAACATTTTTCGTGCCCCATCAACAGCCACAAGATCATGCCGTCTATCCCATTTTATCATCGAGTCTACCATATCCATATGCCTTACCATACTTTTATTAAAAAAAGCGAACGTTGCAGAGCCATCCATCATTCAAAATAATCATTTGTAATACTCGACTTGCAGCCAATTTTACGAAAGCATGTTTAGTGTGAAATGATTTTAATTTTTTGAATTTCATAAGGAAGTTGACAGAAAATGAAAAATCATTTGCCATTTAAATTGCTGGTGAAACCGGGTGTTAGATAGAGCCCAGAAAATAATTTCCGCTAATCATAAGTTTTGTGTAGTTGGCCATCATGTCTCACGTCTCAATGTGTTGTCTTCAATTTAAATTTAACATGCTTAAGTCATACATATGTACATACATAACTTCGAAATCATAGCCCTTTCTAAATTTTTAATGGAAACCCTTTTTAGCGGCGAAGTTCACGAATGGCCCTGTACGAATAATGCCAGCCCTGCAGTGTCAGTATTTTCCATGCTTGCCTTCGTCCTGACGGTGTTAGCGGCTCGAGTATTAGTTTAGATGAAAGCAACGCTGGAGAGCGAATTGCTAGCAAATAATATAAAACATCGGCAGGATATTTAATTTAACAAAAAACAAACTTGTATTCAATGTATTTAAATTCTCAAAGCATTATTTTATATTATACATGCTTGGTTATTTATATTTATAATTTACTAACAATTAACATACAAAATAAACAAATGAAATGCCTTTCAATAAAAAGCAAATGGAATAAAAAAAAAGAATTTTATGTCCGTAAAAACAGTGACTAACTAATTTTTGATTAATGACAACAAAAGGACAATCACAAATACAATTAGTTAGAGCAGCACAAATTTCCTAAAAGAATTTACTAGTGTTGGGAAGTATCGAGTACTTTGGAGGAACGAGTTCTTTGGTATTGATACTTTTGAGGATCGGGTATTTTTGAGAGTGCTGAGTATTTTCTGTAAATATGCACATGTTGGTAACATTTCATTGCCAGCTTGTAAGGCAGCACTTTATTCAAATACAGTACAATCATTTATAAATGCCGGTAAATGTAAAGAAAACGCAGTACTTTCAAGTAAATATTTGACACTTAATACTAAGTACTTTGAATCGATCCTGAGTACATGTAGCAATGCGATGATTGGACAGATTGTTTTTGAATACTGAGTACTATCGAGTTCTTTTGTGAGTACTGAGTACTTTCGAGTTCTTTTGTGAGTACTGAGTACTTTCAAGGTCTTTTATGAATACTGAGTTCTGTGAAGTATTCAATAACGGTACTTCTAACAATTGGCTGCTTTGAGAATCCAGTTCTGAGTACTTTTGGTACCGATACTGCCCAACACTACTGTTTACTAGAGTACGATGTGCACTGAAGCGAATGTAATTATGTATGTATGAGTGTACTATATTCCTTTAATAACTTTACAAAAATCCACCCCACATAAACCGTGGGTAAAACCATTTGTTAGCTATGGCTGACAAAGTAAATAAACTCCCAGCAAACGTCACATTCTTAAAATAAATAATGCGGCTCAAAAGCTTTTAGGGTTTTGATTTGACTTTCGCTTTGGCTTCCTTTCAAGAAAAATACATACATACAAAGGCTACTAAAGCAGTTACATACATATGTGCATACACATAGGTAAATACAATAAGGTGGTGGATTCGCTTTATCTAAACCGACTTTTTGAACATTTTAGGCGGTCTTTTTGAAATCTTGATTTTTCGAATACTGAGTAAACCGGATTTTCGCAATCGAATAAATCAGGTTTGCACCTAGTTTGTTTATATACCGGCATCCAAAAATTCTAAATATTTATTTTATTGAAAAAGTGAATGCATAGAACATTTTTATTTATTTAATTCAAATTTTCCACTGCAGAAAATTATTTAGAAAAGTAATTTTTAAGCAAAAAATACGACCAACTTCAATGCTCATATAAAAACTTAAGTTCATTTCTTCATAATCCAATGATTGGAACTAAAGCAATGGCATGGAACCGCCCCTAAGGTGCAACCTTTTAAATAACAAAAAAAAAAAAAAACAAATCGGGTAACGTGGTCCATAGTTAAAGCGGTAATATAAATGAAAAAAATATATAAAAAATATTCCGACGAATTGATAACCTCCTCCTTTTTAAGTCGGTTAAAAAGAAAACCGAACGAAAATCTTTCAGTTATCTTTTTCTTTATTGTAGCAGCTTACAGAACTACACGTGGTCTTCATTCTCATCTAACGGCAGACTCGGGGAAAAAGCCATATCCGACGAATTTGGGCCACAGGGAGTAGGATGTTAGATGAGCTGATGTGAGTCGCCATATAAAGGTTTAACCTGCTACAATATCCAGGATGGTGATGTGGCAAAGTATCGTGAGCCTCACGAAGCAGCTCGAGCTCTTCGTCCGCGTTGTGTAGCGTTGAATTTTTCACTCAGCTTTTCTGTTTTGCTTGTATGTAATTCAAAATACTTCGAACTTATTTTGCTTTATTGATTTCTAAATTAAAGCTATGCGTACCTATTTTTAGTAGTCATATTGTAATTTTGGTCATGAACTCTGACTAACAGTATATTTAACTGTAGAGAAAATATGTAAAATAAAGCCGGTTTTCCGGGTTTTCTTGAGTAGAAAACCAATAATCGAACACCTTAGGTTAGGTTAGGTTAGGTTAAAGTGACTGCCTACATTCCACATGGGAGAGAGACATACTTAGACCCAATGGGTCCGTTGTAATACCAATTAATGGCTCGAATTCGAATCCGTCCGTACACCGAGAAGTGGAACCAGTTGCGTTAAGTTCAGAAAGCGCGAGAATTCGTAAATTCCTGCTTCACTTACATCGGTGAGACAGACAAAACGGTGGTGTTGAAATGAGTGTCTTCCCCCCCACATGAGGCCGGGGCAATGGCAGAGGTAGTGCTCCTCGCTCTCTTTCCATTTCGTTCTCGTCGCGGCAACCACGGCAGAAGTCATTAGCCGACAAACTCATTCTGCTAGCATGCCTTCCCATTAAGCAGTGGCCTGTAATGATACCGGTCACCAGCCTTAGTAGAGGGCGGTTTAACCGAATGAGTGCGTCGGATCTTTCCTTGTCGAATCTGGGCCAGATTTGTCGAGTCGTCCCACACATCGGTTCTTCCGACCATCATTTTTTTGCCTTCCCAACGAAGTATGTCCTGAGCCATGTCTCATAGGTAGATAGGGGTATGCGCGCTGCATGAGAAGATTTTACGTCAGATAGGGTGGTTCAGATAGGCAAGTTCGCCCGCAGCACAGTCACCTTGAATGTCCCTGTGGCCTGGTACCCACACGATGTGAGTAGTAGATTTTGATGCTAGACCGTTAAGGTCTATCGCAGTTATAGACGAGGTCTTGTACCATTCCAGCGTCTTGATAGCTGCTTGGCTATCGGACTATATATAGTTACGGAAGGCTGATTAAGCGAACATTCACTAAGCCAGAGTGCAGCCTCTTTTATAGCCGCAAATTCTGCCTGGAAGACACTACAGTGGTCTGAAAGCCTAAAGCAGAGATCAAGTGAGAGGTCCTTCGAGTGTATCCCACTGGCTGTGGAGTTATTTTGGTGGCCTCAGACCGAGTAGTCCTCTCAGTCCTTCCTACGATACGAACTTATTCTCGAGCTCCATCGGTGGTGTTGTGTAGTCTGGGGACCTGAACGTATCGGGGTAGTTGGTTGGAATGTTGGTGTGACCGAATCTGGTGTCTTTCCATTTTGACAGTGCATTTATTCTTATTACATTGTAGCTTGCCTGTAGCTTTCCAAAAGGCTCTGCGGGCAGAAAGTTTAGGATGTGATAAGCATGCATGCCGCCCATGGAACCTTGTGGTGAGTGGTACGCACCATGCGCGGCCATGCGTAGAAAAATTTCTTCCCCAGCCATACTCTCTGGCTTATAAATAGATTTTAACGACCCTGGTTAGTGTACATACATTCATATATAGTATATTATATACTTTGAGTTTATTTATGTAAATAAATAAAATGCTACCCGCCCATTCTTTTAATAAACGTACCTATACCATACAGTTGTAATTTGTTTTATAAACTACTCGGAAAGAACTATTTTGCTTACAACTATTTTTTTTTCTTGGAATAATATCCAAAATTATATAATTCAACTGACCTAACCCCACCTCAACACTCATAAGTTTGAGCAATTGCGAGTACTGGTGAATCAGCGTACATACATACATTTTTCGGACACAGTCCGGTTGTTCTTGGCAATTCCTTTGAAGCCGTCAAATGCCAAACACGTAACCTTAATTACTGGCACAAACGCTTAAAGTACAAGAAAATTTGCATTGGAATCTTGATTGGCTGTGCTGCTACGCAAAACTGTGACTGCTGCGAGAATTCCTGCACATTAACTTCAATTTTCTTGACGCTTTTCACAGCAAGTGACCAGTGAAATCACGCAATGAGTTCCAGTTTAATAATAAATTAAATGAGGTTGCAAAGAAAATCAATAAATATTCAGGGGAAACACTTGAGAAAGCGCTTGAAATGATTTCATTGTACGAGGATGCATGATAAAAGCATAGCAAGGTATAACCGTTCTCTCATTTTGTCGGCCATGATTTTTTTTTGAAGTTTGCCAGCATTTTAAAATCATATAAAATTGAAAATAAAAAATTGAAATTGTTCGAAATTGTTGTTGCTTGAGATTGAAAATGAAATTGTGTGTGTGAGTTTGTGAGTAAATTTAAAAATTAAATTGTTTGGAAACGTCAAGAATTTTAAAAGTGCCTCTCAGCGGTTCTACCTTACTATATTTTTATCATGCGAGGATGTAGTCCATGCACGTTTTCTTTTAGTAAGGGAAATTACAGAGAAATCTTAAAAACAGTCGCTACCTTTTGACCTTTTGGGAAGTTGGTTAAACTTAAATAGTTGAAATTAAAAGAATTCGCGGAAATTATGGTTTAATAAGTGCTGCTTATTATAAGGGATAAGTATGTAAATATGTATTTGGGATTGAACATCCCATCGTTTCGTTGCTACCTGATAGTGGCTTTAAAATCTAAAAGGCCCTACACACGCATTGATTTATTGGCCAACCAGTTAGCCAACCGCTAGAAGTTGGTGGTAAATAAGCCGTGTGTAGGCAAGTTGGCAAACCTTCGACAAGTTGTTCGTCAGGTTGGAGTAAAATCAAAAAATCTTGATTTTTGAGGCAGATTGGTCAACTTGTTGCTCTTTATGTAGACAAGTTGGCAACCTAAAATGCGATTTCATTTTTTTAAAGGCGCATTAAGGTTAACATGTGTTTTCGGTTCGTTTCGCTAGTGAAAATGCGTATAATTTGTGAAAGAAGGGACGTTAGCAATTACAAATACATACAAATGTTGTATTGCTCACAGTTCAAAAACACTCACTCAAATGAAATCGGCCAACTGGTTGGTGCGTTTGTAGGGAACTTCGTTAAGTAGGTTGGCCAACTGGTTGGCCGATAAATCAATTCGTGTGTAGGGCCTTTAACGAGAGAAGCATACAATCTGATTTTTTTGCTTAACTCTGCAACCTTGTCAAGAATACTTCGAGCTACAGAAGATCTATTCTTCAAGCATGATTGCAAGGTTGAAATATTCAATGGACAATGGATTCAGGATAGCAAGACTCCTTAATATCACTTCACTAAGTGCATATGTGTGTATGTATTAGCAACATAAAACACAAGAGTATGGAAGCGAAGATAGAAATTTCAATAAAACAATGCAGACACTGACTTTTTTGTGTCTGGTAAACTAAACTTTTATTAAACGTTAATGCGATGTTAATCACTCAGTAACAAAAAAAAAGTCTGTATGTTTAGTTATATAAGAAAACAAACAGCTAGTTTACTCTTACCCCACCCCTCATTATAAATAAAATCAATGTATGCTCGATAGGTATCCAACTATTATTGCCACTTTGTCCGGTGAGTGCATTGACTTGTTGACAAGTTTGAATAAAATACGATGGCACCTATGCCCGCAGAACATAAAAACGGTTAGAACAAACATAAACCTTACGCCTAAGCAAAGCATTTCTTGAGGTGCCACATACCCGACAACGAAATGAACGTCACACGCAACTACGGCAAGCAACAGCGTCGGTCGCGTGAAGTCAAACTGTCGATTAAAATAGGCAATGGCGCGCTAACGTCGAGAGGGTTGCGGTTGGTTAACACCAACACACATACACACACACACACACACCAACACGCACACACACACACACACACACCAACACACACACACACACACACACACCAATAGGGAATGGCGTGTGGACAATGGCGTAAGGAAAACTGGAGCAGCGTGGGACCTACACCACCGGAAACTAGTGCCCGTTGAACTCTGCCGTAAAAGTTTCAGTCACCGATGATGGCAGCGACAAATGGAAGGCAAAATCGGTTAAAAATGCGAGTTTGCGCGAAGTAATTTGGCACAAAAATGTATGGAGCAGTTAAAATAAAAAAGGTGAAAGAAAATACGAACGAAAGTAGTACACCACAAGGGGGGTGGGGGGGTGCTGCATAAGTCGACGACTTAGCCTGAAACTCTTAACTTAAGCGCCAAATGACCTCGATTGGAGTGATTCCGAGTCGTGGTAAATATACGCGTTTGCCTAAACAACGAGAAATAATAATTCCATTTCTCTGGATCACTTTTACTTTCGTTTGCGCCTCCATACACAGCGCTAATATACATATTTAGTAGTGGGTAGTCAAGGGTTGTGTAGGTGCAGGAGAGTAGAATTCCTAATCACAAATGAAATAGCAAATAGTTAATAGCTTACCAACCCACTCCAACCCGTTCTCATGTATTGGTACATATGTGTATTCCCATGTACATAGGTATTTATGCATGTAGGCGTCTAGCAGCTTGTCGAACGGGAGCACGTACTCAATTCGTTCGCTTCTGTTTTGGCCACTTTACCAGCTGCGCCTAAAAGCATTACAGTCTTGATGGTAAAGTGCGCGACAAAGTAGTGGTCAGTTCATTTTGAACCGCCATTTCGAACGGACGTGTCTGTGCAAACAACGAAACGCTTAGTGTAACGACGACCTTTAACCGTTAAAGGTTGCTGAAATACATGCATACATAGAAAGTGTGCCTTAAAAATACAAAATCTAGTCCCACAACAAAAAGGAGTTAATAACATTAAAAAAGTTATTACCAGTGCAACGAAAAGGCTACTAAAAGGCGCTAAACTAAGGAAACTTGATTCATTACCTCATACCCGCTTCCTTTGTGGCATTTGAGACATTAAATGAATTTCAAAATGCGTACCTGTGGCATGAGTCTAATCAAGTATATACTATTCGCATTTAATATCGTATTTGCGGTAAGTAAATATTATTAATTATCTAAATCCCCTGCGAAATGCCAGCTGAAACGCGAATATTCCTTTATTAATGATTGGCATTAGATTTACAAATGGCGGCTGTCGAACGGTCATTTACATACATATTAACATTTTTCAGTGCGTGTAGAAGTTTACGGTCTTAATTGCAATTATTAAAGCAATCGACAAACAAAGAGGGAAAGTTTCTCTTTAGGTCATTAACAAATTTTTAAAGGCTATTAATTTGTTGCAATGCTAAATTTAAAATAATGGTACTTTATTTGGCACTCTTACATTTCTTTTTGGCGCATTTTTTATTTTCAGTATGCCTCCTCACAGCTAAGGATAGTTGGAAGGACCTTTTTTTTTTAATAATAAGGGTTCAGGATGGGCAAATGGAGTTGTTATGTACGCCTAAAATAGTCAGGTGTTTGTGCTACGTGAAGTGACCAGTCAGCAGTCCAACAAGTTGTCTGAAGTCCCGTTTGCTCAGTGAGAGCAAAAAACTAGATAGACCTTCTGAGATTGAAGGCAACATGAATTTTGCCCACCTGCAAACCCTCGATGCCTCCCAGTCACTGCTGAGCGAAGTAAGTATTCACCCAGTTTCGGATGGTGGCTTCGACGGCCGAATATGGGAGTCCTATAAACGGTTGCGGACCGAGAAATGCCTAGTCTGAACCAATTCTGGCCAAATGGTCAGATATCTTTTTGCCAGGTACTCCCGAGTGACCTGGCACCCAGAGTAAAGCAAGCGCGTAATGTTTGCCAACATAATTTAGTCTAGACTTGCATTGGCGAATTAGTTCGGAAGTAGTTAATGCCTTAAGTGCAGCTTGGCTTTCACTGCAGACACATAAGCTCCTTTCCCTCCACCTATTTTCCATCACATAGTCCATGGCCTTGAAGATTGCAAATACGTCAGTCAGTAAGACCGAAGCATTCTCCCCAAGGCCCCATATTCTGACTCAGAGTCAGTTTTGGAGCCATTAGTGGAAGATTCGACAATGTGTGAGTCCGGGCTCAGTGCTGGTATTAAACCTTCCGCTTCAGGGAGTGCATCATTATAGAATATCTTCAACAAAGGTAATGGTGTCGTACTATCCTGTGGCAATTTCCGCTACGCGCCCCACTCAATGTTATACCAACATCTTTTTCTTTTTAGTCTGTAGGTGGTCTTTAAGGCTTCCCCACGTTATTTTTTGAGACTTTGCTCCACTATACCATTGACGCATAGCTGATTATGGGTCTGGTCATATTTAGGTCCTGTTTACATTGCCAATATGCTGCCAATGCTTTGGAGGTCTTGTGTTCCACATGAGATTTCCACGATAGTTTTGTATCCAGAATTACTCCTAGATACTTTACTTCGGGATAAGTCTGAATTGTGACTCCTTTAAGTGTGAGGGGGAATGAGACCATCCAACCTTCTTCTTCTAGTAAAGAGCACAACACAAAAGAGCAGATTAGCTAAAGCAAACACTGTTGCAACGACTGTTGCTTGACCTATTCTGCTCTTTTGCCAGAGTATACATATATTTATTGACTTAAAAATTAAGCGAACTCTGCTAGAATGACAGTTCCTCACCATACTTAACTATGGTGCCACTGTGTACAAAGGCATAGGGAAAAAGTAATACACACAGCAGAAACAGGGACTTCGGGGCTTTCGAAAGAACTATACTGCGCAAGGTCTACGGCCCCAATCGCGTGGGCGACGAGCACCGAAGAAGATGGAATGACTAACTGTACGAGCTTTTCAACGACATAGACGATTGCGCTGGATTGGACATGTTGTACGCATGGATGATGACGCTCCGTTGCAAAGATCCTTCGACTCCACACCCATGGGTGGACAACGAAAGCAAAGGCGCCCACGAACACAATCGAAGGACTTGTCCGCACTTGAGATGAACAACTGGCGCGAATCCGCAAAGGAGAGAGGCAACTGCCGATGTTAATAGTGGCAAATAAGAGGCATAACAGTTTTCACAGTAGTTTTATGAGAAGCTTTTTAAGCGCAGAAATGATCTCGAAAGCTTACTTTTTTACTTTTCCAAGAAATTATTTCAATTAGCTAAGTGGAACAAAGGTATTTTCTTCATTTGTGCCGAACAAAAAGTCCGGGCTGTTTCAAGCACGAAGAAGAAGACATTTACAATCAAACACTGAACTATTTTCGCCCTCTATTACCCATTTTTCTAGCGTGAGGGACTCTTTCTGTGCTCTTCTGGGCACTCGCACGATCCGGCAGGATTGCGTGAAGGAAATCTTATAATTTCATGTTTCACGAGCCGAAATGTGAACGGCTACCTGCCCAAATAGTCGTGCCGTTTTGGACACCAGAGATCTACTCAATTAATTATTAAAATCACCCAAAAAGATTTTTTTGATAATAAGTAGCCTTTCGGCAGCCAGTTCGAAAAGGCTATATCCCAGAAAACTTTTCAAAAACGCCCTATTTTAGAATTTTATTGAAAAACCCCTATCTCAGAATTTGGTTCAAAAACGCCCTTACTCAAACAAAAATACAGTGAAAATGTGCTGAGATAGGGCGTTTTGGAAACGAATTATGAGATAGGCCATATTTCTACCAAATTCTGAAATATTTAAACTGAAGAAAACTTAAAAAGCTCTCAACTCTACGCTCTCATTTCAAACCCTTCTTTATGGGCTAAAACAAAATATTGATTTTAGCAAAGCTTTAATAAATAATCGGTTTCGTAAACACTGAACCAAAAATCTATCTCTGGATCAAAGAAAAACTTTCCTTACTTTAAGGTCGTTAAGGTCGGAAATTCTTCCGAATGAGTAAAAAAATCTCCCGAATGAGTAATTTTTCTTTAGAATGTGTAAAAACGTACACGAAAATATGGAACCGTGGATGTAATCTATCATTTTGAAGAAATGCTGGGCATGAAAAGAGGATAAAACTTCTTTAGTGCTATTTCGTTCCCATTCCATTTTCTACATTTTGATTGCTGTTTTTCTTCAATTAAGAGAAGTTTCTTTTTTGAGTTAAACTTTAAGACTTATGTAAATGGTTTTGCTTTAGTTTGTACTACTTCACTCAAGAGAATACTGCTAAACACAAATTAAATAATTTGGCTTAAATACATTATATACATATACATATTTCGGCGATGTTTTTGCGACTATTGTTTTGTTTCACTCCTATCTCAAAATTTTGTGGTGAACACATAAAAAAAGCTTCCTGAAAATGTGAACCCTTAATATTAACATTAAGTACTCGCAAGGCGTGCAAAGATTTCCCATATAAAATACACATAAACTTTGAGTATATGGTATAATCTTGGGCAATAATGGGGTTTTTTCAGAATTGAATGATCTACAAAAGTGTTCATTGCGGTGTAATCCTAACTCCCACCAGCGAGGTAGTACGGGTCACTGAACGCAATTTTTTCACGAAATTCTCGCTTTTTTGCCCCTATCTCGAAAATAACAAGAGCTAAAGAAAAAATATAAATTACAAACTTGTAGGACTTTCAATTTTCTACAAAAAAGTTTCAGAACACATAATCGCTAGCATCGCTATTTCTTGAGATATTGGACTTTGAAGTTGATCAACAATTTTTACAATTTAGCTTAAAAGTCCATGAAAATTCCACACTACCTCAAATTTTCAGGGATTTTTTTTTATGTGTTTCCACAAAATTTTGAGATAAGAGTAAAAAAAACAATAGTCGCAAAAAAAAATCGCCCTAATATATATATACTCTTTAAAACATGTAACCGCCTCAACACGCAATAATGCCTGATGGAATTATCCGACATTTATTTTTGTAGCAAGCATGAAAGTTGCATGCATTTTTGATGACTTGTTTTAACTTTGACATTAGTAAGCACACGACGCCAGACTTTATTCAGGATATTTATTGTAATAAATATTTGGATTTAAGATAAACACGAACGGCAAAGCGTAAAACGAATGGTCACTTGCCATTAGCCATTGGCCCACAGCCAATGCGAAGTTGGTTGGTTGAACCTTCATATGGAATAAAACATGAGTTTTCATTGCGCATTTATCGCAAATTACAATCTGACATTGAACTAACCTTTCATAAATACATACAAACATATACGAGTATAGTTAGTTAGAGAGTAATTAAAATTGCGTTGATTTAAATATTTATCCACCTACGCCCAACAAATTAATTTATACAGACGGCTCTTAACAAATCTATATTCGTTATACTGCGTCATATGTTTCAATATCATTAATGGATTATTTTGTATATCCATTCGTTTACAGATATCCGGTCTCGGTATTTTGATAGCAGGCGCCGTTGTACTTGCGGATGTCAACCAATTCAGTCACTTTATTGAGGGCAGAGTGACGGCACCACCCATCGTACTTATTGTAACTGGCTTAATTATATTTTTGATTGCATCTTTGGGTTGCTTTGGTGCGATCAAAGAATCACCTACGCTGCTATTGACTGTAAGTGATGTCTATTTTCGCTTATTAATTACACGTGTTCATATTTACTAATAACTCCATTCCGACTCAAGTACGCCGTGCTGTTAGCCATCATCTTTATCATCGAACTGGCTGTGGGCATTGCAGCTGCTGTCTTCAAATCAGATCTGGAAATGATGTTAAAGAACTCCCTACAAGAGTCTATAAAACGCTCGAATCACGAGGATATGATGGCATGGGATAATGTACAGCGCAAATTGATGTGCTGTGGTGTCGACAATCCAGCCGACTGGCGCACACTTAGCGCGAACAAGACGTTGCCGGCAAGTTGCTGTCGCGAAAAGTACATTGAGGAGTCTGTTGGACACTGTACAGAATCACCGGCACTGGGACGTGATAAGTACTTTCAGGTGAGTGTATTTAAAATTGTTCACATTTCCGACCGAACGATTTGGAATTCGGAGAATATTTTTTCTACTCTGCTTTCTAGGAGGGCTGCGTGGGCAAACTGAGGGAGCGCATCGACAAGAATGCCGTAATTTTGATTGGTGTAGGCATAGGCATCGCGTTCATACAAATATTGGGCATTATATTGGCATGTTACCTGGCTTCCACAATACGTCACGAACGCATGAAATAAAGACATACCTACATACATATGAATGTATGTACATATGAGGCAGATGAGGTAGGTTGGTACATTGTGGATAAGCCGACAATTGTGTGTATACAAATGTGAAAATAAATAGGTTGAACATTAACTTAAAATGCTAACAGGATTGGGGTCAGCTAGCTAGCATAGACAAGTTTATGCCTTTTATCGGGCGAATAATTATTGAATGTACATATGTATTAAGTATTGATGCATTAAAACTTTACTTTATCCCCTGGGGGAAGAATTTCCGTTTGACCTACATTTGACAAACTTTAATTTCCCGTAGTTCATCGGGCTGTTAGAAAGTTTTATTTGTATGTATGTATGTAAATATTTCATTTTTATTTCTTCTTTTTCAGTTATTCTCTCTAGTTAAGAAGATAGAATCATTTACTCAAACATCAAAGCATTGAACTGACTTCAAAGAAAGCAACACTTCATAAGCAATATTCAACTATTCCGAGATCCAGACATCATTACGTTCTTCTTTTGGCCATTTGGAATGATGCATAGCTAGCTAAGAAATTTTAGTACTCACAGAAGCTTGATGCAGGAATATCAAACAGGAACAGCCACTCCAGAACACTCAAATCATCAAAATGTATAACCCTCATTTCCACATTAATAAAATCACAAATCACCGTCCACTACTATTCTAAACGTTACTTAATATACAACAAACTTATTAAAGAAATGCTTTTATGTGTATTGTTGCCTTTTATATATTATAAAATAAATGAATTTCTAAAAGAAAAGTGCACTACGCAACAAAATTTTCACCGACGCGCTAAAGTACCGTTTGAAACTAATGATGGGGGAAATAAACTAGTGAAACAGAAACAGCGGATCTTCAGTAGTGTAACCGGATATGTAGTAGAGGAAATCGGAAAAGGATCGGTTTGGAACTGAAACGGATGAGTGTATCATTCACACTTGTTTTATTTTTGCATTACAAGGGTTGCACATATATGTACAAAGTAGGAACCGCTTTACAAATAAAAAAAAAATAAGTATTAATTTTAAACAAAGTTTTAGAAGTAGATTTTAATTAAAAACGTAATTGGTTTTTTCAACATACTTCCGTATCATTGCCACTCCGTTTTAGTCATTATCCGAAACAGCGACATCTGCCGGATGCAATGCAAAGTACTTTTGTGGTGTGTTCAGTGTTGGCCCAACGTGCTGCCGCCAACAGCTGTTTTTGCAAGATAAACATTTTGAAAAAGTGAGCTCTATTATACAATTTCGGACGTACAATGGATAAGGAGAATTTAGTGAAGCACTATTGGGATTGTGCAAGTGCACTAGAGCCCGAGACGCACACACATAAATTACTGAAATCATATTATATGACAATATGCCGGAAGCTGGCGAAATCAAGCATCTCCATGCCGAAGGAAAAGTTCTCCCGCAACATGATGTGCCGCCATTGCTCTAGCAAATGGAACGAGTCAGATTTCCAAATGAAACTGAAGCCACAACAAATAGCACATAGCACCAAGGCTAGGAAACAAATAGAGAAGCTATACGATGCCAAAAAGAGTACAGAAAATCGAAGAGCGCTTACAAGGAAGCAGCGTAAAAGAGCCAAGTGGTTAAGCAAGCGCGTTCTAAATAGCGTGGTAAGTAACATCTGCGGCAATACATCCCTTCTTACTATATTCTAATGCGTACTTGTTTCAGGAAATACAATGCGAACTGTGTAAACATAAGACCAAATTGCCAATGCAAAAACCAAGCAGAAAAGAGCGTGACAGTAAAATGACGGAAGTCACAGAGTTGGACGAGATAATTGTACCTGAAACCGTGGCGCCTGCTCCGGTTAAGAATAAAAAGAAAAAGAAAAAAAATAAGGATAAAACCGCCGGTCTTAAACTTGACAAAGTGCAAGTTAATGCAGCTAAAATATCAGCACCAAATAAGGATGTAGCTCCAACGAAACCCCATACTAACGCTGCTAGCATAACAACTGACACACCAAAAGGAGCAGCTGCAAATGCAAAACCACAATCAAATAATAAAAGTGCCAACAAAGCAGATGCTACAAAAAAGCAAGCAAAACCCACTGCCAAACTAAGTCAGCCACTAAAAGCTAAGAAGAAAAATGCCAAAGCAGCTGCAGCGCCGAATGTACAATCTAAGACACAACAGAAAAATTCATTGTTACAACTGGCAGCTATGCTGAAAGCGCAAACGGCAAACAAATCTGGCGAGAATTCGGCGCATAGACGGCTGGAATCGTTACTTAAATAGGTACCTAATTAAAGTAGTGCGTAGTTTGTTTTGTAGAATTTATATTATAATCATGCAAGTAGACTACAATACATAGATAGTTCGAATTGTATTGACAATTTATATTACCCATTGACTTGTTTGCAATGCTACTTTATTTTCTATACTTGAACAAAAGCAAATCTATCTTATTAAAATAAATTTACACCGCCAATAAACAAAAATCGTTCATCTTTGCCGTGGTGTATGATATGTGCTTAGCGTTCGCTTTTGTTTCGACTTACTGGAGCGTATTGTTACCTCGATTATTTGTGTTTTGCAAAAACATTGCAAACTAGTATGCCTTTGTTAAGTATATTTATTGCATAATATGCTGAAGGCTAAATAATAAATGGAATATACTCATATTGTGTGTACGTACGTTGGTATTTAATTCATTGCAGATATATTGCAACAAATGAAATTTTAAAACATTCTGAACTCAGAAAAGCTGCAGTATTGTTTTTTTACTGTTTGCACCAGCATAAATATGTAGTAAGAAAACTTTTGCTGGTGGCAAACCATTATCTGCATTTACATACATAAATCCGAGTCCTTATCATACAGGCATGTAGGTACACAGACGCGGTTCGTAATAAATTTCATAGAATTCATTACTAACCAGCCAAATGCATTCTAAATTTGTATACGATTTTTTAATACCCAAATTATTCATACCAACCGTCTTTAAAAGCATTTATAATACCAAATGCCAATTACTAATCAATGTTAATGAGGTTCTAAAGCAATCATTTAAAGACATACGCTAAACGCTAACAGTCTATCCACTTCCAGATTGTTTGATTGCAAAAAACAAAGTAAATTTGCAAAAGCTAAGAATCAAAAACGAGCTTTAACATATATATATTATATGTACGTATTTATGTATAATAGAGAGCAGCGTGAACACGCAAGAACCTGTTGTTGGCCAACAACTATTGACAACATCACGATAGGCGCACATAAACACATACCCGTGCATATCGCGGTATCGGGAGGAATATAGACCACTTAGGCTTTGGCCATTAAAACACGCAGCTGCAGACTGCTTATATGTATATACAGCCGCATGCTAACATAAATGGTTATTTATATGTTGCAGACAATCGCTGGTCAATGCAATCAATGAGCCAAAGTCAAGGCTGCAGAACCAGAACTTTGAAGTTAAGAAGAACAACAACAAAGCCCCAAAGCGCATAAACACGTATATAGCTAAATACACATTTGTAAATATTTATATATTGTACTCGTACATATATACATACTAGGTATGTATGTATACACCTATATGTGTGTACATATTTACTATTTGTGAAGACCAAGGAATTTGTTATAGCCGTTTTGCGTTACCTTGGAATGCGATGGCGATTTTTGCAATATTTACGCGCTTGTATAGTTACATACATACGTATGTAAGGTAGTATCTGTATTTCACGTGTATATGTATGTATTTCTGATGATTGGAAAGCAAACTGCCGATCATACTTATGAATCGAAGCCACCAAACCGGGCTGTAATAATTCTCCTATGAAAATGTATCAATTTGCAAGCCGTTCTAACATCATTTGTGTCTAACAGTCGGACATGTATAATTTCTTCGTGAGGAAAGTTATGGCCAGTACTTTTTGTTTATGAATTTGAGAGTGTCCGGAAGTTTCGAAGACCGATTGCTGTCTTTAATATTTTTGTTTAAGTCTACAATTAATATTTTCATTCCATCTTGCCATCTCTCCTTTTTTGTTAAGTCGATACCTTTATAGAAATATTTTTCTGAACCCGAGTGTTTCATGGACCCAACATTAGATGATTTTGTATTTAAAATTAATCTAGATTGCCGATTCTCCATAGAAATAAGTAATGCTGATAAAGCATCAAGACTTAGGGCCATTTTCACAGTGCGAGTCAATTCATATTCAGCAGATATTCATAGATTTTTTGTTAACTCTCCACTGTTAAAACGGCCCTTATCAGAAATATGGCTTTTTTTGTAAATTACAATCCTTCGTCTGGTCTGCGCTATTAAAGTAAATCGAGCTGTAATTCTAAAACCTCCCCAAACTGCTTATGGATTTTTGTTATTAATTAAAAATGCAACAAATATAAAATAAACAAAAATGTTATTTTATCAAAACTTCGAACGGTCCATCCAAAATCACACTACCGAACAATACCGTTCGTTGCATAAAATATTTAGACAAACGACAGTCTGGCTTAAAACACTTGCCTGAAGTTATTGTACTCGTACCTCCGTAAGAGATTTACTACATATGTATGTATGTATGTCATTAAGTGCTTGTTTGCGTGTAGTTCCAAAGAGCTTAACCATCAATTTCGTAATTTTCGCGCTTCAGTGCCTCCAAGAATGAAAGCAAAAAAATGTGAAACGGTACTTTTGGTAGTTATTAACGCAATTCCTGTTTGTGCCATGATTTGTGGCTTATAAGTATGTAGTATAAATTTTATACCAATCTTTTTCAAGTTCTTCATACCTTGTTTTCTTCTTAGTTGACTTTAAATTTCATTATTTACTTTCTTTCTACGTTTTGATCAATGATTTCGCCAGCAGCTGTCTACCTCGTTTGAAATATTCTGGACAACGCTAGATTGTGCAACTACCTCTTGGATTTATATGGGTATACAAGGCCTATAAATATGATATTATGTATGTATGTTTGCCCATACATATGCATCTGTATTTATTTGCATATGTTGCGACAGTTGTTAAAGTCCGCTCATATGCAAAAGATTAGCTGCACTTCAATGTATAATAGAAGATAGGAGATTTAATTAACTTACTTTAAATTAATACCAATTTACATTTGTATTTTAATGTATACGTACATACTTGCTAGTATGTATCTTAATTCACATCATTACTGATTTACGAACAGGCAGAAACCGATAAATATAAGTTCAATTTATTGATTTAAAAGATAAACATTCATTTCGATACACCTGAAAGTCTACATTGTATCATCGTTCGTACATATTTACGCATGCGCGCATGTTTATTTATGTATGCACCTTACATACATATGTACGTACATACATACATTCATATGTACTTACATACATACATATGTATATCCCTCATATGCGCTTGACGACGACCTTCTTGTCTGCGCTTCTTTAGGTCCCATTGTCCTCCTTCGATTTGTTCGATTTGCGGATAACCTGCCTCTAAAGCGTTCAAAATTGCAAGTCGGTGCGCATCAAATCGGTTAGTCTGCTTTTCTACTCCATTATTTATTTATGCTGTGTGTATTCATAATACTTTAAAAAAGAAAAAGGAGTAGGGTTAATCTTAAAAGAAGAAAAAAAAAAGATAAAATGAAAACAAAGTAGAAATCTGGTTTTTCTGTGTCTGGGAATCTTCAACAAATTTGTAAATGTGTTCTTTTGATTCGATTAAATCGCTACGTGTTAATGGCGATGACGTTTTTTATGATTGCTTATTTGATTACTGCTTGATTAATATATTTAATAGGGAATTGTGGCAAGAAAAAGCTTTTAATAAAATAATTATTGAAATTCATGCATTCTAGTAATGCAATATACATACATACATACGTACATATCGTTACCTTAATTCACAAAGGCCCTAACAAACAAATTTTTTATTTTAGAGGAGAAGCAAAAAACATTATAAAAATAATTTTAAATTAACATCTTTCGATTGGTGAATCAGTTTTTGAATATCTCCTTTAGTTTCCAAGATGTGGGTAAAAAATATACGCAAAAGTAATTAACAATAAACAATAAAAATTAAATTATTTAAGAATTTCGTGAACTACATAGTAACATTCTCCGAGACTTAGAAGAAAATCTATTTTCGCGTTTTTGAGAAATTGCATAACAAACTTCAATCACGATTTCCCAAAACCCGCCAAAAGTAACATACGACAATATTTTATCCAGCCGACGTTATGTATGTATGTAAATGTACACAAACTTTTCTCATAAATATCCATAAAGTAAAAGAAAAATTAGAGTCAATATAACTTCAGGGTCGAAATTTTTCCGATATACATACATGTCAATAAATCGTATGATAAACTTTTAAATATGTGCCGTGTTTTTTTTCAGGAAATCCGTAGACGTCTATAGGTACCAATTCTTCCAATTCCCTAGGCAAACAAAACTTCCGAAAAATATATGTGGTTTTTGTTGGTCTTTTCTTTATTTTCGTTTCCAACTTATTTTATTTATACTTCCAGTGAATACTCGAGTTATTGAGCATGAAGATCAAAAACATTGTGAACAAGTCTCTAAAAATATGTACTTTAAAACCATTTATTGCCGCCTTAGACTTATCGATATGCGAATATCTTCAAGAAACAACTAGTCTTCATCTCTCGTTGCAGATTATCAATTTCAGGTACATACATACATACATATTGCCTACTCGGATAGCCAGCAAGGTAGCAACTCATTCCATGCATACATACATACATACATAAATCTACATTGTTCGATAATCGATCGAATTTGCCACTGGTGCACCTCCGGTTGTTTGTGTAGTTGTCGTGGCGTTTATTGAGGCGACTATTTATGCATTTGTGTTGATATTCTTTATTATTGCTGTTTTGTTTTCTGTCTTTGCGCAACTTTACACAATCTTCCATGGCTTGATCGGCGACCGTGCGCCGTGTGTACAGCCTTAGCGTCGTCCTCCTCCATTCAAGCAGAGTCAACTACTTACTTACTAGCCAGCCGACCAAGCAAGCTGCTAGCCAATCACTTATGCCACCATCCGCGCATTTGTTCCACTTATTCCTCCTGATTCTCAACGCACAGGCCTCGCCTCAGTGGAAACCGCACTACCTACATACATACATAGCTGTCAGTTGGTTGTTGTGGTTGCGCGCGAGTGCGGCACATAACTTTTTCATTTATTGCTCATCTTTTATGTGGAGTTTTTGGTTATATGTATGTATTTGGTTTTTTTTTTGCTTTATTGGTTGTAGATATTACTTGTTTTATTTACTTTAGTTTATTTAATTTTTCGCTTTTCTTCTTTTTGTTGTTTTGCTTTCGTCAGCTTAGCAGCCGAGTGATTCACATAATACGAGTTGAATAGAGCATCGAAGCGAATGATTTCTTTATTCTACTGCAGCTCTCTTTGTTCTTCGCCATTGGCCATTCTCGATGAGGTGCACAGTGGCTCGGTCTTGATTTGAAATTTATAATGTATAAGCCGCTATCGTTTCGCCAATGCTTAGCGAGTAGCGCTACAACCAAACTCGCCAACGTTCATCGCTTCGAGCTAACTTTGTTGTTACTTTCACATACATGAATTTGTACTGAAAATCGAGTGGGAGCTTAAGCTCACTTTTTATGCATAATGCCCAATGTTTGGCTACCAAACCATTTTTAAGTTTTAGCTTCGGTTCGAACTTATGGAGTTTAGTATTTTCATTGGGTCCTTTAAAATCAGAAATTATCAGGTTTTAACAGCACATGCCTTCTGTTCAGAAATACATCAAGCCAAAGCATCAGTCTCTTTTATTTCTAAACTATAATTAATAGAAATGTCCAATATGCGCAACCACGGTTAAGTCTTGATTTAGAACTTAGTTGCGTAAATAAGGCATTTCCGTCAATTTTAGTTTAGAAATAAAACAGGCTGATGCTTTGGCTGGATGTACTTATTTCTGAGCGGAGAGAAACATACCTCCCAAACCGGTTGCTCAATCTCTGCTTTTGTGTTTCATCTGCCCAGCGTCTCCCATGTTCTGAAGTCTGCTTAGAAAATATTCGAATATCTGATTGAAAAATTCGGATAACAACATGAACGGATAATAACCAGATATCCTGATTTTCGAATCTAAAAATAACAATAAAAAAACAATTCTTAGTGCATCAATGAAGTGTTCTAAATATTATTTGTTTTTAATTCAATAGATTCGTTAATTTTGAGGAGAATTTTACGACTGTTTCAGAATATTCGGATATCCGGTTAATATCCGTTTATTTGATCATCCGCATATTCGTATTTACGGATAAAATTCGGATATCCAGTATTTATCTGTTAATTTTTATTATCCGGATATCCGGATTTTATCCGTATACATCAAAATCTGAACGGATATCCGTATGCACTAGTGTGAATACCTTTGAAGCAGCCAACAAATAGTTTAAAATTGAAGGCATCGTCCCGTGTCATCTCTCATTTCACGATCCTAGCCAAATCAAAATTTTCGCGCACACATTCTAAAAAGCTCAGCTCCTTGATGTTTTTTCATTGCAAAATAACATACTCTCGGAGATTTCCTATTGCCTATCGAGGGGCAATTTCCCTTTTTATAGCGTAATGTAAGGAAAGGTCTATAGATTCTTGTCCTGAGAAGTATGTACTTGAACACTGATCTCCTAGTACTTGGAAGATTAATCTCCTAGTAGAAGTTTGAATGCAATTTCTACACCTCTACATCTTCATAACAGCCCATTGTGCACTAAGCAAAACACTCTCTAGTCACTCGGCATGTGGCAGAGTGACTATGCTCTTCCGTTGATGTCTTGCTTTTAGCCGACTGCTAACTCTGGACAGCTGGTCTAGTAACATCGGCAACGCTGATTTGGTTGCATGCAGCTCAGACGCGTTTTAAACTCGGAAAGGTGAAGTACGCATGCGCGACGCTCTTGCTCGATTAGCGGTGATGTGGATATGAATTAAACGCAAATAAATTAAAAAAAAATGAAAATTAAATAACTAAATACGTACATACATATCAGGTCAGCTACTACATAAATAAGTGGTAAATCAAGAATTAAAAATTAAAGATAATAAATGAAAATAAAAAATGGTTTGAGTGCGAAAAGATAGCAAACGTCCGATTAATGCGCACAGACAGCGAACGAAAGAACAAAACGGGTTGGACGTTAGCAAAACGGATGGGCGGTGTTGGTGGACAGTGGCGACAGTATAGGTACATATGTACGTATGTATGTATGTATGTATACAGTGACCGTGTTGGCGACTGTCGTCGCACCGGATGCAAATACATAAAAAGTGACCGTAGATACCAATAACAACATACATAAATATTGCCTTGGTCACCACCACAGAATTGTCTTTGAGCCGTGTGCTAATGGCCTGCGTTATCGAAGTTTAAATTTGTTGTAGTTGTTTTTGCTATCATACATGCATGTACGGCTCTTACGCTTGCATTTATGTGCATATGTGCATATGTATGTATGTAAGTAAATTTTTATGCTTGCAATGAAGTGGAAAAGTTTGTCGCGCGTCTAATGGCACAGGAAATCGACGTAAATTGGTTGGAAACAAAATCCATCCAAAGTTATGCCGAGAATGGCCGATAGTGTCTGCAGGAAATACAACCGGGGCTTGCTTGCATCGCGGAAAAATGACCATCAAACGTGCACGCGAGCACGCAAGCAAACAGTCGCAACTACTCTGAGTTAGTTAAATATTGTGAAGTCTGCAGTTAAGGCAAAATGCTTGCGTTCGAGGAAGGTTGCACTTCAACGAGTGACATTCAGTGCACTTCTTTTTGTTTGCTTTATTGATGAAGTGGCCTTTAATGGTCATCTTTACTTGGACGCACCCTTGAATATTGACACATATGTATACCATCTTACAAATCAATACTAAATTTTCTACCTGTAAGATCTATATATCGATGGCTGCGTGCAAGATCGACCTTCTCGGGAACCAGCATTTTTCAACCGCACAGCATTTTTGAACCGAATTCTGAGATAGTGTTTTTCAGTAAAATTCTGATATAGGGCGTTTTTCAAATAAACTCTGAATTAGGGCGTTCTTGAAAAGTTTTCTGAGATAGGGCGTTTTTGAACTGGCAGCCGAGATAGCTCGATCTTCCATTCAGCCATCGATATATAATCACTGTATTTCCAGAAATGTCCCATATTTTCTGACTCTGAGACCAAGTAACAATTTATAGTTCTAGTTTGAGTTAATCGCTGACATACACAAAAGTACGCTGAGTAAACTAAAGGTAAGCTTAGATTAGGTCAGGTTACGATAGTTGTCACTATGCACAGCACGCAGACTAGGACCGGGGACCCGTACCTATATGTATGTATGTTTATTCATTAGGGTGTTTAAAATGTTAAGCTCCCCTAGGATTTTTCTAAATGTAAAAAAGAATACCTGATTTTTTTTTTGTGGCATTTAATTAAAACAACTCAAGTGACTTTTGAATTAAAAAATAATAAGTTTAATATTTTTATTTAGTTTATAGTAAGAGAAAATTCCTAACTACACCCATGACTAGTTAATCGTTAATATATTGTTTGGGAACCCAATGAAATATTGCTTTAAAGGGAAAATGGCTTATCTCGAGATAAGTTGTTTTATTAAAATTCCACAGATATGTATCTCTTTCGAAGCCTCTGATAATATCGCACAAGCCATTTCCACTCATCTCGAAATAAATATTATCTAATCTCAGTCTTGGTTTCGTAACAAAAAATAGTAATGGTTTGGTTCAATAATTCTTCTCCACATACGATAGGAATTCGACAAATGAGCAAATTGCCGGCGATAATTTTCAAACAAAAGTCATATCATCCACAAAGGAAAAGGCTGGCTGGGTATTTACATATACGGTTTAGAGCAGGGACTATCCTTTCGGATATTCGTGTAATAATAATAATAATATTAGATTGGCGCTTACACATACGTCAGTGTTTGGCCGAGCTTCTCCTCCGATTTGTGGCGTGCGCCTTGATGTTCTCAAAGCGAAGGGACCTACAGTTTTACGCCAACTCCGAATGGCGATTGTATTTTTATGAGAAGCTGTTTTTCACGGCAGAAATACACTCGGAGGTTTGCCGTCGCCGGGCTTGAACTCAGGCCCTGCGGAATGGTAGCGCTCACTGCTAACCACTACACCACACTTTCAACCCATCAAAGTGAAATCTTTTACTTGCACGCCGACATTGTATGGCTGTTATGTATATGCGGTTTTTCACTAGTGTTTCTATATACCCATGAATGTCTTTCTATTTACCCATTTGCAGAGTTTTTCATTTTTATTTAATTGTATCTTAAAAATAATGGCAAAATTTCATTGATTCAATTTTTTCGTTTTCGCAATGGTTTATACATTTATAAATTTATGCAAAATTTCTACAAGCTATTCTTTTTCCTCAATAAGCTGGCAGGTGTTTTGTTTGCAAACTCGTATTTGCATGCCTATGTAGAGGTGTGTGTGTGTGTGTGCGTGTGTGTGTATATGTTTATTTAAGCATGAGTAATATTGTTGACGTTTTTGTGGATGAAGACAAAAGCTACAGAAAACGTCATCAAATTGAATATATCAGCAATGAATACAAAATTGAGCTGTTTGCATATAAAATATTCCTTTTACGCCGGCACGCTTATGGAATAGTGAAAAGGTCAAACTTCGGGGAAAAAATGTAAACAATACTTGAAAATATCCCAGAATAAGTTTTATTCTGTATTAGACGAGAGTTACCGGAACACCCAGCGTACAACCACATGTGAAGGGAGCTTTTAAATTTTTTAAAGTATTTATTGTTTTCTGCTATTTTAATTTTTTCAAAGTTCCTTTGATTTTAAAAACTCTTTTTGGGAAGATAGGTACTGGTTTTTTATCATAATTTTTCTAAGTCCGAAAAGTTTAAAAAAAATTAAGAAACGCTAAAAAAATTTAAAAAAATTTGAAAATACTGTAGTCAAATTACCACCAAATCATACTTTCCCTTAGTGATGCAATTTTCTTAATGACACGCTTTAGTGACTTCACGATTGACTATGTACATATACACATTTGGGTTTATAGCGGTACAAATTTAATTGCAGTCTAAAAGTGAAATTTCAATCGGCTCAGCAGAGAAATGTGACTTTATTTCACGAATGACGGAATTTCCACACATACAAACAAACATATGTATTAATGAAACAAGTGTGCAAAATATTGGGCGAAAACTTGTAACCGCTATCCTTTTATGCAGGCAGGCATATGTACATATACATATAGCAGATTTACATTAAGACGGCTCACAAAACTTCACAGGAAGTTCGTAAAATTTATTAAACGTAAAAGGTTAGTTAAAGTGTGAATTCAATTATTGGAGAAGCTTTGCCAGAGGCTGAAATTTTTTTTTAAACAATTCTTTTTGCAACTTCTCCTAAGTTGCTAATTGAGTTCAAAGAGTTACACCACCCTGAAGGCCAAAAAAACTTGTTAACAAATTTATTTTTTTTATGACGCAGATATGTATGAAATTTATAAAAAAAACCTTTTTTCACACATATAGTCAATATATAAGAAAAATTTCCAATAAATACAAATTTGAAAAAAATTGTAAAATGGTGGAGGTATGACCGCCTCCTCTTTTAATGATGGTGTACAAGATTTCTCAATCGGGTACTGTATGAAAATTACAAAAAGTTGCTCAGAGTGAAAAGAGAAATCGATTAACCCGTGTCTGTCCGCCCGTCTGTCTGTCCATTCCTCTGTGCTGACGATAGCTCGAGGAAAAATTTGAGATATCTTAACGAATATGTTTCTGTGAGATAAAGACAGATGGTTTGAAAATGGGCAAAATTTAAGGGAACCACGCCCACATCCCACATAACGGAAGCTGCTTAACTCAAAATTGATGTTTGCAGTAATTCTTTAGCAAGTAATCCATTTAAAATAATTTTTTGGAAAATGGGCGTGACACTGCAGAAATACACTCCCTTTTAGAAACTGTTTTATAGTTTTTGGGCCAGAGATCGAGCCCGAGTCTTCTTTAACTTGCTGTATTTGGTTCTGGGTTTTTCTTCAATTTTTTTTATTTGTGGAAAAGCATGCAGGCTTTCTCAAGGTTCGCAAAACTTGAAAATATCCGCTTATTACTTCAGGTTAGGAAACGGAAATTAGATGGAGAATATTTTAGAAAGGATGACACTGCGGAGCTTAGTTATAGTGGCTAACTTATCGATTTTTGCTATGGCGACAACTTAATTCACTGAACATTGAAATTGATGTTGTCGTCTGCTTTCAATGGCTACCAGACACAACTAAATGGCCCAGCTTAATCAATTTTTTTAATACTCTCGCAGTAGATGGTACTTGACAACATGATTTCATTCGCTATGCGGGAAATTCAAAAATTCACTAAATTATCAAACTAATTTCGTTTTTTTTTTCAAATTAAAAAAGAAAATAAATAAATTTGCAAAAATACTGTGTATAAATGTTCATTCGAAAACCCATTTATACAAATATTTTAAATGATAATCTATGCATATTGAAACTTCCATGCGCCTCATTACTGTTGCCTCATTTTCAAGTGAAATTTAAAAAATTTCTGCTACTGAAGCTATCATCAATTCAACAATTTCAATGTGAGGATTTAACCTTAGAGTGCCACGATATCCATGGCAATAGCATCTGTAATTATATTATTAACCACAATTTCCACTCATCTCCTAAATCATCATTATGCTGCCGCACGCCACTTACCATTTATATCATACGTATGCACACATGTACGGGTATTGGTATGGATAATATGTGTGTATGTATGTACGTACAGTATTGGCCAATACAATAGTATCCCCGTTTCAAACTGATATAGTTTGTCACTCATATTTATTTATTTATTTTTGGAATTTTCAATTAAAATACAGTTTATTCTCTAACAAAACTCATATAGACCCAAGTTTAAAAGTTTTTAAAAGACTACAAAAAACGCTACAAATTTTCACCCAAATTTGAAACTTTTTTCTCAAAAGTGTTAGAATTTTTTCGAGTAC